TTCGATGAGAATTCGACTTACATTATATGTAGGACTTAGGAGACTCGTCCAAGACAACCTTGGGCGGAGAGGAGGGATAAGAAAAGGGGGTGGGGGGGGTTGACTTTTAACACTTTTTTAGACCAAGAAAAAGCTCAAGATACACGAGGAATCCAAATGCGTCAAGATTGAAGATTACGAACTAACGGCCACAATAGTTCCTCTTTATGTTCTCTTTTTCTTCTTAATTGAAATCATGTATTTCTTTATGTTGATATTTAGTATCTGAATTTTTTTGGGATTCTAGGATTTGTGAGTACTCGGATTATTTTATGAAGTAATTGTATTTATTCATTCTGGTCTATCATTCGTTTGTTAATTTCTTATGCTTAATTTATTGTTTGAATATAGGGCCAATATTTTATGCACATTTTGTTAGAGCAGAATGTCTGATGTTCCAATTTGATTGGATCTTTTCTACAACTAAAGAAAATATATTGGAAATTATATTATTATGAGACATTGTTTTATCTTATGTCTTTTCATTTATTATATATTTGCAAGTATGATAAAGTCCTTAGATCATTTTTAGTTACGAGGCATGGTTGCGCATTTGATGGAAATTATGGAACATGTCTTTAAAGCTATGATCTTAAATAAGTTTCAAGCTGATGGGTGTTTCGAGACAGGACATCGAATAACCCGGTATGACTTGTGCATATGATGCATGCTCGTTGAACGAAGATGTTGCATTCCATTAACATTAGCGTGTGGATGCAAATTCATATATGCAGATGCTTGTTGGGAATAAATTCACTGAACATGGCCCAACGAGAATTCTTAGCTGGAAGTTTTTAACAGTCGAATAAGAATTTTCATGTTGCAGTAGTACATGATCCTCGGACTTGAAGCACGATAGTAATCTTGTGCATTTTGTGCTTTACTTTGATTTATCATTTCATTGTTAGACAATCATAAAAAGGATAATTTGGGTATTGTATCAATGTGCATGGAGGTTTATCTGTGGCCAACATAGAATATGGACACTTATGTGGATAAGTGAATTTTCTATATTTTTCATAGTTTGTGATTCAAGTACCTTGGCCAAGGAGGTATGAATATGGATTCATAATGGAACCGCTAAACTTGAAATAAAATTATAGTTATTAAATCAATTGAGTTTCGACTTATAAATCCATGCTCAAGATTTAATCGGAAAATTAGTTGTCGAAAGTATTTTACATGTATACCCTTGCAATTGAAAATGTTTACTCGCTATTTCACTTAACACTAGATAATCATGCTACTTGCTAGGTGTTACCATGATTCGTTGGTTCTTGAAATTAAAGAGTTAATTTCAAGAATATAAATTAATATGATTAATTAAAAAATTAAAAATGAGATGTAAACCGACTACTAGTATTAATCATGAACATAAAATGGTCAAATCAAATATTGGATGATGACATTTTGAAATTACTATTTCCAATAATTGAATTAACTGAAAAGACATAATTAAATAATTTCATTATTTAGTTAAATCTAATTTTGGTTAGATGTCAATTGGAGAAATAAAATAAATGAATCAATTGGATTGATTAATTGGACTTTAGATATTAATTAAGTAATTGTTGGAATTACTAAATAAATAGTTGGATTTTAAAGTTTGACTTTCAAATTCAAATCCACATACTAAAATGATTATATAGTTAAAGTCATAATAAGAGATGAGGTGTTTTATTTTACGGGAGATAACAAAAGGAAATTAAGGTTTTCACCAACTATTAGAAAATTGGTTTCCCATTTTTTTGGTCATTATCTTTTAGTTTGAATAAAAAAAAGAACTTACGTATAAAATAAAATGCTTAGTTTTTGTTGTTATAGGGTTGAGACCCAAAACTCTCGAATAAAATGAAATAAAATAATTATTTGCTCTCAATTTGATTCTGAATACCAATTAAAATACGAGACGATTCTACTAGAGAAGATATTGTCCTCGGAGTCAGAATCCAAAGGATAAACTTGCTCAGTGGGAAGACGCATGGATTCGTACGGCAAGACGAACGAAAACGGTGATTGTCACATATCCAAGAATTGATTCCCTTTCAGTCTTCACTTATTTAAATGAAAACTAAGGTAATTTTTTAAATCCTTTAGAAATTAAAATTCGAACTATTATGTGATTATCAAATATAACGATCGTTACGATCACTATGTGAGCCGCTGAGGTTGGTATTTATTCGATAAATTCTTGTTTATTTCGTTTAGTTTTCACTGCGTCTCTCCTCGTTCGCTATAGCGAACCCAACAGTGGTATCAAGACTCTAATTGGGCTGAAAAATCACAAGTCTACACTTCTAAACAGCAAATAAAAACAAAAACATAAACAAAAAAAAAAAAAAAAAAGAAAAAAAAAACAACAACCAAAGCGAAAAGTCTGAGCCTCTGCTGACAGGTGCCTAGGCGAGCAGTCTGCACCATGAGAGGTCTAAAGCACAAAAAAATACAAAACAACTACCCAAATTTGAACGATGGATAGTCAATCTGATCCATCGGCACAACAGTATGAAGGTAGAGAGGAGCGTTGTCTGGATGAAACATGTGCCTCAGGGGAGGGAGGCACCGATGTAACCGAGACAGTCAGTGGGTCAGTTCTCCTCGTGGAAGATGTGCGAGTTCCAATAGCGAACCGACTGAAGTATGGATCAGATGCGCATGACGGGTGCTAAATCTGCAACGAGCCCTAGTAGCCTGAGGTGAAGAGGGTGGCGACAGCGACAGCGTCCAACTCTATCCAAATGTGAGAAGAGATAGAGGCTGCAATCTGAAGACCGATCTGAAGCGCCTGGACCTCCGCGTTGTAACTCGATGAAGCCTTAAGAGGGGCGTGAAAGGTGGTAATGAGAGCTCCGCTGTGATCCCTAATTAGGCCCCCACCTCCGGCGGCTCCGTTAAGTCGGTCAAAAGATCCTTCAGTATTTAGCTTAACCCAAGGGGAGTCGGGTCTCAGCCATACAACAGCTCTGGGACGTGGGTGCTGGACAGGCGGCAACGGATATGTTACGAACCGGTGGGGCTGCTTGCAGCCTGTCCAGTCTCTAGGTGTTAGTCAACTCAGAGCTATGAGGAGTGAGAAATGTCGATCAACCTATAAAGAAATGAGAGAGCATATAAAAGTAATATCCCTATGCTTCACAGTATTCCTGTCCAGATGGACCACAGGACCAGACAAGGAATGAGGGATCCCACGTGTCTAAAGTGTATGCGCTGTGAGAAAAAACTGAAGGGCTAAAAATAAATGTCTGTAGTGGGAAGGGGTATATGAGTATAAGTGGCAAAATGCTCCCACACTCTCCTTGCAACCTCGCATTCTAGAAACAAATGGAAAAAAGTCTCAGTCTAGAAATGTCCGGTCTCGACACAGAAATAACACCGTGAAGGGAAGAAAAACCCCCTCGTCTGCATCTCAGCGTCGAACGGAATTCAGCGCAGAAGGAGACGCCAAAGGAAGGTAGAGATGGTCGAGGTAAGTAGGTCGGTCCAACTGGCCCCGAAGAGAAGGTTAGGCAGGTCACCCAGCCGAACTTCCCCCCAAGTTGAGGTCGTAGAAAATGTACTCGAAGATGTAAGTCTCCACCTCATACTGTCCGAACCATCCTCCGAGATGGGAATCTATTGGATCTGATCTAAAACTCGGTCAATAAAACCCGCTCCAGTACCCAACACCCTCTCTAACCTATCCCTATCACAATCCCCATCAGACCACAAGTCCTTCACCCGCGGAGAAGGAGAGTGAGTGACCTTCTTAATGCTCGAAAAAGGCCCCTCGCCAAACCACCGCTTGTCCCAAAAGCAAACATCCCCCTCACCCAGGGTCCAGAAGATGTGCTCGTGTGCACACCTACCTCCCCTGGTGAGCTGCCTCCACTGCCTGCTATCATGAGCGATCATCGTCACCCTACAGGGATGACAGACACCTCTAGGGCAGTACTTTCCGTGAAGGTACTGAGCCCAAAGAGACTTTCCCTCACTGAAGTGACACCAAATCTAATACGAGAAGGCGGTGACTACATTCTGATAAGCGGCGGATCCCAAGGCCATCCTCGGAAAAAGGCCAGAAAACGGAATCCTACTTCACCCAATGGACCTTTCTCCCCCTCCGAGAGACATCCCCGTGCCCTCCAGAAATAACGAGCCATGATTTGCTCTAACTCGTGGATAATGGATTGAGGGGGACCGAGGACCATGAAGGGATAAAGCAGAAAGGCATTGAGGGTTCTCTTGATCAGCACAAGTCGACCCCCAAAAGAATGATTTCTGTGCAATCAGTCAGAGATCCGGTCAATCATCCTCTGCCTGACATCTACAAAGAGCGCACTCGTGAGATAACCTTTGTACAGAGGGGCACCGAGGTAGGTGATGGGGTGGTCGCCGCGTGCGAAACAAGTGCACTCGTGGACCCACTGTGCCCACTGATCCGCAATGAGAGGGAAGAGGATGAAGGTTCTCTTTTGCAAGTTGACGAGTTGAATAGTGACTGAGCCATAGTGCTCTAGAAGGTGCATAAGCTTGACCAATCCATCATTATCTGCACGAGTGAAAATAATGATGTCATCCGCATAAGGGAGGTGCGAGATGGAAAGACCATAGCCACTTGTGTTGTAGGTCATCCTCAGGTTATCACAGATGAAGGCATCAATGCAACGAGAAAGGTAGTCCGAATCATCATCTAATTTTGTATCATCCTTGGGTTATCAGAGCCACTAAGTAATCATCATCCTCGTTATCAGAGCCACAGTTTGCATCTTTAAAATAAGAGTTTGATTTGTTTGTGTTTATGTGATAAACATGTTTAATTATTAAATCATATAATTTTGTGTCTGATACAAGTGTTGTATTTGATTTTATTTAGGGAATATTAATTTCAATCAAATGTTGATTTAAAATAGAGGGAGAGAGAGAGAGAGTAGTGGGGACGGGTTAACCGTCTCCAATTACTTATCCTATATATTGGATATTGGATGTCTCTGCTGAGAGTCAGAGAATATTCGATTCTTTGTATTCTTTGAAAAAATATTATTAAAGTGTTTAATAAGTGGGGTTGATGTCTGCCGCCCCACAATGATATTTTTGCTAATGTTTTTGTATAGTAAAATAGTTTTTCAGAGAGTAGAACTCTTAGTTTGAGACATGCGTAACCTAAAAAAAATACTTCAAATAACTATTATGAATAGGTAACATTAGTTTAATCCAAAAAATTAATCAACACCCAGAATTTGGTAAGTTTATATGTTTTAATTCATGTGATGAATGTTTTAATATATTTTTTTTTAGGGATGATCAAGAGCCTTTTACCAATGTGATTGGATGTGTATGTTTTTATCTTTGAGTTTTTGGGGTCTGCGAGCATCTTATTCTATTATTTTTATAAGTTTTAAATTATTGCATCAAGCGTAGACTAGGTCGTGAGGTTTTCTAATTTTTTATTAGAGGTTGTTCGATGCAATAGACCTATGCTTGTGTCGGTAATTTTTACAAGTTATAAGAAGTTAAAGGCCCGTGCTTATATGAGTTAATCAAATAAAATATAATAGAACTAGTTCTATTTATTTTTTCCCTTAGATTGGGTTTGACCCAATTTTGGCTCGAACGAGTCGCATAGGTTTGGCCATTATCATCCCATCACTTTCTTCATATGATACATGTCAAATTTATTTAATGTTTTCTTCTTGCCTTCATATGTGAATGTTGCATTAAATAAACTCACTAAGCAACTTAAGCTGATGAAGGTTTGAATCTAAACCTTAAGGGTGTGCTTGTTTATGAAATATTTCATTCAAAATGAGTTATTTTAGTTAATTAGAGTTAATTTCGAAAAAAATAGTATGGTTAATTGTTAGTGGGATTTTAAGAATGTATTAAAATAATATTTAAAATAAAATGATTAAAATTGATTTGATGTAAAAGTAAGAGATAAATGATTGAAAATGATTAGAAATGATATGTAGTTAAAATTATGTGAGTGGATGAATAGTGAATTAAAGTTGATGTGATGTGTAAAAATGATTGGTTTGTATTATTTAATTATATGAATAATATTAAAGATAATGAGGTTGAGTTAAAGTTGAGTTAGATTTTGAGTATAAATTGGATTGAGAATGAAATAATTTGTAAACAATCATGCCCTAAGGGCTTGATTGTTTATCAAATAATTTATTCAAAATGAGTTATTTTGGTTAACCATAGTTAATTTTGAAAAAGGTGGTATAGTCAGTTGTTAGTAGAATTTTAAGAATGTATTAAAATAACATGATTAAAATTGATTTGATGTAAAAGTAGGAGATCAATGATTGGAAATGATAGGTAGTTAAAATTATGTGAGTGGATGAATAGTGAATTAAAGATGATGTGATGTGTAAGAATGATTGATTTGTATTATGTAATAATATAAATAATATTAAAGATAGTGGGATTGAGTTAAGGTTGAGTTAGATTTTGAGTATGAGAGAAATGCGAGTAAACTAACTCATAAACAAGCATGCCCTAAGTTTTTCAAACTTTCAAGGAATTTAATTCGATTAATTTCATATCAAATTAATATGGATAAAATAGGTTGCATCTATAACCTTCCATCAACGGTAGATGACATGACGATGCTACGGTGTTTGGTCACTGACCATGAGTCTGGAGTGATCTTGTGCTGAAAGTTGTGATCTCTACCAAGCATTAAGATGCTCGTGAGGTGGACTCGTCTTTGTGTTGGCCACGAATCGTGGGAGACCTTGATGCGCCCTTATCACGAAGTTTTAATATGTTTAATTAGACACTTAGTACTATATGGGTTCATAAAATTGTGGTATATGAGAAATGTGAGGTAAAATAATATTGGAGGTTGTATATTGATACAATTCTCAAAAGTTGAGGCAAAATAATCCTCAAAAAACCCACCTCTCCTTCTCTCTGTTCGAGAAAAAGAAAAAAAACCCCAATTTCCCTAACCTAAAAATAGGCAAATCGGTTCGCCTCCTCTCCGGCGGGACTTCGCCTCTTGCATTTTCTTCTGGCTCTGGGCGGCCTGGTCAGATCGTCATTTTGGGGTGGGCCTCGACATCCCTTTCCGTCTTCAAGTGGATTTCTTCCGTCGCGGTTGCCATGGCGGGTGGAAGTTGGAGGGAGTTATCTTGCCGGCGTAGAGTTGGGCTGGGGTCGGTGCTGTTTTCGGGCACCGGTGTGAAGCAGACGCTGCCGGCTCTCCCCGAAGTCGTTGTTCCTGGTGCTGGAATAGAGGTCTGTGTGTTGAATTAGGCTGGTTTTGGGTCCGACGGCTCAGGTCGAGTTAGCCGTAGGGTAGAGGGAGTTTCTCGATCTTGCTTGGGTCGTTGGCCATGGAACTGTCCTTGTTTTGACTGCCTTGGGGTTGGTTCGAGTTGTGGCATTTCGGAGTTGGCTCTGTTGGAGAGGAGGGCTTTAGTTAGTAGCTTTTAGTTTAGTAGTTTGTCTTTGTGTCTGTGTTTTGGCGTCGCGGGAGTGGGCTCGTAGTGTTGTGGGTTTAGTGTTTTTGTGTTTTTCTAGTGGTTTTAGATTGTGTGTTCTTTGTGTTATCTCTCTCGTTTGGGAGGGTCTCTCTCGTAGGGGAGTGTGTTTCTCCCGTAGGGGAGAAGGGAGTTTTTTCTCCTGTTATGGAGCTTGTTTTTTATTTTTATGTAGTTAGTGGATGCGTATGCTCTAGTGTAGGTTCTAGGCGATCCTCTGGATCTGTCCTCCCACTAGATTCGACTTTTGAGCTGTATTTTCGGCTTTTGGGTTGTTTTCTAGATGTATCTATGTGTTTTTCTTTTAAATATTTCACGAGTCTCATAGAATTGGATTATAGAATAATTTTATTTGGTTTCAAGCCTCTTAATTTAACTCCAAAATTTTATGGGGTTTAATTAAAATAATAAGAGACATTTAATATCAAAGACCTTATATTAAAAGAATATAGTTTCTATAGTTTACTCATTTTCTGCTTCGTTTATTTTTGTAAATCATTCTACTAAAATGGCTAAACATCCAATTGCATGTATTCTTGAGCAAACCAAATTGACTGACCCGAATTTCGTTGATTAGCTGAGAAACTTTAAAACATTCATTCCGTCTGAATATAAGGACTATGTGCTTGACAATGCCTGTTTGTCCCATTTTTGTTGCATTTTTCGGTGTTGTTTTGTCATTCTTTTTCTCCCGTTTTAGGTCTTTTTGTTGGTTTTTTTTTTTGTAGTTTATTGCGTGTTTTCCTTTATTTTGGTTCTCTATGTGTTTTTCGTGTGTTTTTTCGATTTTTCTTTGTTTTTGATGTGCAGGTCGTAAGCTTCGGGAGGACTGAATTTTAGATAAAAAATGATCGTGCAAGTGTAAGTAAATAGAAGGGTTCGTTGGCGACAAGTAGAAAAAAAGGGAATCAAATTCCGATACCTGACGAGCTCAAACGAGCCCGAGAGGTGAAGTCATCCACGGAAGCTAGCTACCAGACCAGCGCCACGTGCGTGCCGCGCCGCGACAAGCACCACGACCGCCTTCAGAGACACCCGCTCGCACGTCATGCCCGCGGAGTGCCCCGCGCCGCGATACCATCCCGCTCCACGTCGCGCCTTCCCACCACGCCGCGACGACTTGATCCTCCGCGCCATGTCAACAGCATCGCGCCGCGACACCATCCCTTCCTCACGCCGTGCCACATCTTGTGGTACCCGACACGGACCAACAGAATGCTGAACTACCAGGCGCCATGCCGCGGCACCCCGCCACGCCATGACACATGAGTCCCTCGCGCCGCGCTCCAATTTTCTCGCGTCGTGGCTCACACACA